CGTATCTAACTAACCCAATATAGCCCCCGGGGAGAAAAACTCGCCGATCCCAAGTTCCTCTACCTGCTTTTTCAAGCATACCACCTCCAAGTTCTGGACTTCCACGAATCAAGAGGAAGACTGCTGACGGCCTTGAAACTGGAGGACGGGTCGCTAAATCTAACATACCTGTTTCGACTAGCGTCTCAATTCCTGATCCGGTGCTAACGATGTGCAACCGCCATACAACTCAGAACGCATTGTTCTCAGCGGGTATTAAATTCAAAATTATCAAAAAACCTTTCCCTCGCCCCAGTGAAGCGGTCCTTGATGCTGCCACCCGGAAAGCAGCCCAGGAATCAAAGGAAAGGCGCTGGGAACTAATGCAGGAAACTGGCTGCATGCTTCATCCCGGAGAAGAGGAGGAATGGGTGAACAATGATAACTCGAAGGTCCGATGGGACCCGGAATTAGTCTATATTTGCGATGATGAGGAGGGGGAGGCTCCACCGAAAGAAGATACTAAGAAGTTTCCAGAGCGTGGCGTTCTAAAGGCACCGGTAAGTAATCAGGATTATTTGTGCTTTATCAATAAAATGCTAATATTTCCTTAGCCTCCGTTGACAATCCATGGAAACTGGATTCCAGCCCCTAACGCCCCTTCTCTTCAAATTTCAAGGGAACCTGTGGAGGTATCAAGAGTAGTATACTTGGGAGAGGATGAACAAAAGGAACCTGCATATGGGAAGAAGAAGCCCAGAAAGTAAGATGATTCGGGCAAATGATTTTTAGCGGTTTGTGTTTTGAATTTCTATCCCTTTCTATCATTCTGTCTTACGTCTCCTGGGGTTTTGGGATGCCTTTAGTTTCTAGTTGGGGCTGGGGTGGAATATTTCTACAAAATGGGCTATGATGTGCCAAAGGGTATTCTTGGACATGGATGTGCGCGTATGGTTGCTTTCTACATAAAGGATACCTATTTTCTTTTCTATTACTCGGTGTTTCTCTGTACTTTAAGCGAAGGGAAAAGGTCACTTCTTCATTCTACTGTCAATTTTCAGCTGTATAGTTTTTAAGGGGTTTATTGTTAGGGAATCTTTTTTTACTGAGATATATGTTGGGGGTTAGTACTTACGTTTCACAAGCACTTTCCTTTATCATGTTGTATATGTGTAATTATTCTACATGGGTTAGGATCACGATAGAGATATCAAAAATATATCAATTCAAGTACTTACACAGTTCTCTGGTTGGAAAGCTCCAATTATTGGTTGTTTAGTTGCGTACTTTAATAAATTATTACTTGGCTATATATACGTGTACGTAGGAGGTAATGCGGAACTAATATCTGCACGGGTGTACTGGTCTGTGATTTGGTGTTTGAGCCTTTGCGAAAAGAATTCAGCCCAAAATCCTGATTACCTGATTAGCCAATTAGAGAGTTTGCATAAATCAGCTGGATCCGAGTCTTTTCGCAAACCAAATACTAGCAATGCCGACCGGAATTTCGGTCACGTGGGGATACATCCAAAGAGTAGCTAGTACATATATATACCCAGATACCTCCAAATCTTTTCATTTTGGCACAGCATAAAAGACTCACTAAAGTCGAATTCGTATACAGAACATAGCCGCTATATCTCAGAATGTATTAGTCAGTGTTTGAAAAAAACAAAATGGGTGTCGTTCTAGGAAAAGGTACCTGTGTGGCAACGCAACAAGGCCTCACTAGCTCACTACCGCACTCTACAGGCTCCAATTTATGGAACCAATGTCAGAAAAATTAATTCTGAGCTCTCACCAAGGTCCTCTGAGCTTTATGAAAATTTGGAGTTTATCGGTTGTTTGGTTCGTCGGAATAAGGATTTAGCTGTGCGGACGGTTTTCCTAGAACGACACGTCGACACCCAAATATTCACTTTCAAGACAAAAAGTCGCTGTGAGGTGGTGAGAATATATATTAGTTAAAGAAAACCACAAAGCATTGATGACAGAATTTTTGAATTCTTTCATCGTCAAGAGAATCTATGCGTCCAAATTGACCTTGATATGCTCTCATTTGACTCATTGTTGAGATCACCGAATGTGCATCATTTCCCTACATCCTAGGTATGTACCGGGCGTTGAGGGTAAATACGAAGAATCTGATAAGGGAATCTTGCTGTGAAATAGGTGTGTTGATCTTATCAGATTCTCGGTATTTATGGTTGACCCCCGGTACATTATGCAGTTGTTTGCCAAGAAAGCTTATTTCTCCTTACCCGGCCCTCAACTAAACCAATGCAACTATGGTAAAGCTGTGGAAGCTCGGACATCATCATCACCTTACATCTGTCAACCAGCAGCTAACCATGGAGGAATCCCTATCTCTCGAAGAAACCAACAAGCTCCGAATATCTCTCGGTCTCAAGCCCTTAAAGGTTGATACCGAGTCTAAACCCTCCGGCACTGGCGCTACAGGCGAGAAAACCTATGACAACTCGGTTGAAGGTCATGAACGACGGGCTGTCGACAACTGGAAGCAGCACGAAACTGAGATCCAAAAAGAGGCTACACGGAAAGCTAAACTTGATGGCATTAAGAAAGCGCGTGATGTTGCAAAAAGGTTCGCGCAGCTTGAGGGCAAAGGGTTAGGAGAAGAAGAGGAGAACGAGGAAGATACAACGACGTGGGTTAAAAAAATGAAGAAGCGACAGAAGAAACTGGCAGAAAGGATGGCCAAGGATAAGGAAGAGGAGGAAGAAAGAGCTCTCAGGGAGCATAAAGAGTATACTGCAGATCAATTGGCGGGTGTTAGAGTTGGCCATGACCTGCATGAGTTAAATGAAGGCGAAGAAGGCACAATCTTGACGCTCAAAGATACCACCATAGAAGAAAATGAAGGTATATATACTTATTTTCCACTGAAGATATACTTACAAATATCGAATACTAATTTTTTAATCAGAGGACGGCGACGAACTTATATCCACCGACTTGGCTGAGAGGGAAAGACTCAACGAAAGAATGGAACTGAAGAAAAAGAAACCAGTCTACAACGCCTATGACGATGAAGAACATGGAGGAACAAGTATTCTAGCACAATACGATGAAGAAATTGATGGGAAAAAGAAAAAGAGGTTTGTACTCGATGGTTCTGGCAATTCCGCAGACATCAATGCTCATCGGGGAGAAGTGATCGAGAAACTCAAGGCAAAACCTATCAAAATTACTTTAGATCTTCCAAGTCAGTATCCCCAGACCTGTCCCCTGAGATTCTCGATTCTCGCGGTTACTGGTGCATTGCTGATAGAAAGTCTAAATCGTAGAACCCGAAGTTCTCTCTGATTATGCCATGAACACAAGTATCCGGAAATCTAAGGGAAAGAAATCAAAGTCGACTCGGAAGAAGTCCGAAAACGATGATAGCCTTGCGCCACCTCCTGAGAATACACAAGAGGTACCCGATAACAACTATATGGAGGTTGATCCAGCCCCTGCGAGTGCACCCAAGCCAAAACGAACCTATAAAGAGACATCATTTGTTGATGACGAGGATCTTCAGGATTCTCTTGCGACCCAGCGTCGAGCTGCTTTAAAGAAACGTAAAATACTGAAGCCCGACGCTTTTGCTCGTAAATTGCTTGAAGATGCAGCAGTAGTGGCAGAAGAGGACCTGGATGAAGCAGAGAATGCAATGGTAGATGACGAGGAGGGACCTGGACTCATCATTGATGAAACAACCGAGTTCGTGGCGAATTTAAGAGCGGCTGTTATCCCAGAACGCAAAAATATCAAAGTTGAAGCTTCTAGGATCAAATCTATGGCCGATGATTGGGTGGAACCTCTTGATGGTGACATCGAGGACATGGAGGTTGATAGTGCTGACGAGGTTGACGGGAAAGCCGGTCATAAATCTAACAATATCGCTCCCGGACCTCCTGACGGAGCCCCAGAATTCTCTAGCACAGGTCTTGAAGAGGAAATGACGATGTCTAGAGGTGTCGGTGCCACACTCGCCATGCTTAATCAGCGTGGTCTTCTTAAGCGGGACGAAGAAGCAGAGAATAAAGTTCAACTACTTCGCGATCGCCAGAATTTCAATGTTCAGAAGCGACTCCGCGAGGTTGAAGCAGAAGAAAAGGCAAAATCACAAAGATTACGTGATAGACAGAGCGGGAAGTTTGACCGCATGTCTGCGAGAGAAAGGGAAGAGCATGCTCGATGGGAGAATAAGCAAAGAGACCTTCAGGAGGCAAGAGACTTGCAGACAAGGTTCAAAGAATATAGACCAGATGTCAATTTGCAATATAAAGATGAATTTGGTAGAGATATGACACCAAAAGAGGTTTGTTATTGCCAATTCCCTTTTATTTTCTGGCATACTCTTGTAGCTAATAAATTTCCTCGTACCCAATAGGCATTTAAACACCTCTCTCATCAGTTCCATGGAAAGGGCTCCGGAAAAGCAAAAACCGAAAAAAGGCTCAAAAAGATAGAAGACGAGAAAAAGAGAGAGGCCACATCAAGTCTAAACACCAATTCGGCGAGTGCCGTACAGGCCGCCGCAAAGAAGGGGAAGCAGGCAGGAGTGAGGTTGATGTAGGGGAAGTCATTTGTACGCAGAAGCGTGTGTAACGCAATAGAAGCTTTTGAATGGATTTGTGGGGACTATCATACCGGCCTAAACTTTTGGGGAAGGGAATATACAAACTCATCATGACTGTTACTTTTTTCTTCAATATAATATAATTATGGACATTGCGGGTGATAGTCAAATAATGCGGAGCTGGGTCAAACTTCCGATACATAGTATACCGTTTGCCAAATGGTGTGGACAAGAGTACTAAATCCGTGTGTAATAACACACGTGTCAGGTACAGGCTAGGAGTAACTGCAGCACCAAACCGAACTTTAGTACTGCCTGCGCAGCCGCTTTCGGAACACTGAAATCACAAAAAAAAAGCTTGAAGCTATACGTCCTTTTGGTCGATAGCTACACCCCACACACCGGTAGTGGTTGGTACCTTATTACTTTTGTGTGATCACACCAGGGGTCGAACCTGGAATTTCTTGATTCATACATGTAGTCAAGCGCCTTGCCATTGGGCCGTGTAACCATGTGTTGTACTAAATTATACTTCAAAACCCTATATTGAAAATGTATAGGCCTACATCTTGTGTGAATGTTGGACCACGAGAAATCCCGTGGCCCCACGCAGCAGCCAGCAAAAATCGCCCAAAACAACTTACCTATTTGTACTCAAGTACATTAGTACGTTGTACACCTATCTCACTTCTTATATACTCCCAAAGGCAGTTTTCGGGGTTTGCATGCGTACCCAGAGGAAACTAACTTGAATGTGCTAAGATTCCGTCAAACTTTGGCTCTCTGGTTATACAATTATCCTTTTCGATGTTGCTTGCGAAGTACTTGTAGTTATTAGTATACTTATTTCAAATATTCTAATATAAATTAGTTTGTTGCAACGTCAGATCCTTCAAGCATCACAAATTCTGTACACAGTTTCCATGTTTTGTAGATTCCCTCCACTGTATTTATTATACGTTACCATATATGCAATATATGGTGGTTAATGTAGTAAGGTTGCTTTTCTGTGTCCTCCGCGTTATTGTGACCTGGAAAAACATAAATACAGTACCAAAAAAACGGGTGGATCCAGTACCGCACCTAGTAGAATACGGTATTGCTACGGTATAATAGTTAGGATTTCAATTTAATTCGGAAGTTTTACACAATTCCGTATTGATACAGTACGTATTACATCCCCTTTTTTGGTACTACTGTACCCTAACAAAATACACCATCACAGTTCAAGTTGCTACTAAGCACGTACCTATCCCGGACTGTGCCTTTGAATAGCTCACAATCCTTATCACCACCAGCTAAACTGTAAATACTATGGCTAACATGTCTAGTTTACACCTTTTGTAATGGAAGTACTCAAATATCGGGATATACATATGCACCTCGGGTACCGGTCACGGTTACTCCTTCCCTTGCCTTTTTGGGGATGTTCTCTAACACGTATTCAGTATCTCTTCTGCTGGAAATAACGTAGAAAAAGTCAATACCACAATCCATTGTTAGGTCTTATGGTTTCAGCTATGCTTGTTGCCTTGAAAGTATGAAAATCCGTGGTTTTGGGTTCGATTAAAAGAGTCTGGAGCCGCGAGAACCCTCATAGGAGATTACAGGGATAATTATAAGTTCGCGTTGCGTATGTCGGAGGTATGCTCTCGGCCTGTGGATGGCCGTTTAGATTTTGATACATGTAATCGGCATTGACGACATCATGGCACCAGGGGTTCTATCATTTAATTATTCTTCAATCCCCCCCCCCCCCCCCGAACCCAGGCCCGCGCGAGCTTGTCCCGACAAGGCGATATTTCGAATATTTCTAATTGTTAACCAATTCTTCCTTATAGACATCATTATTACGGGTCAAATACAAAACCACCAACCCCCCCAGATAATCACTTCACTTAATAAATGTGCCAGCGAAGATAGATATACCCGTCTAGCTTGAAAAAAAATCTTCCTTTGAAGATATGCCATCTTCTCACGCACTCAAGTAGCGGCCCTAAACTACACCCTGCAGTCATATATCAAATGGCTAAACAATATTATTGAGCTAGCGGCCTCTTGTGATATTTTAGAGATCCACCAGAGGTATTACTATTGCATTCTAAAAGAGGTATATGTCTCCAGGGGGGGACTCCTCAGCAAAGTATTCCCTTGTGCTCTTCTTTTCCAGGTTAGAGAAATAAAGTTTGTTGAATTCAAAGGGGTTAGCATGGCCATATATATAAGTCTGCTATCTTGTATATCAACCGAATCCTCGTAGTTATCCAGTACATCATTAATAGCGTCAGCATATTTCTCGGGAAAGAAATTTGGGTCAAAGATGAGCTAAGAGTCAAAGAGTGGTATCCGAGTCTCGCCGCCTGAAGCACAGCTAGGGAAATATCAGAGAACCTGGAGTGATCAGTCATATACATCAGTTTAGATTCCAAGAATCAGGTCTCCAACGTATATTTTGCCAGGATTTAGATGGCGCCGGGAGAAAAAACTGAAACCTCTACACTTGTCCAAAACTTAGCAATTAATCCTTTTACTCATCCCCGTTGAAATTTTCTTCGAATAGAGATTTTGCGCAAGTGGAGCCAGCTCTATACTTTGATTATCTGATTGGCTAATGGTGTGATCGTCACAAATCAGGCTGTCAGAAAATGGAGCTGGCTCAATTCGTGGTTTTTTTTTTTATATCATGTCAATTCTGTTTTTAGGTACAAAATGGTCGCGTGCAGTTAATACTATGGCGTAAAGAAACCTAGGCTCAATTCGTAGTTACTTACGGTGAAATTATACTTATCGGTGGGCATATACTTATCGGTGAACATATACTTACATATATCGGTGAGCATATTTATCAGTGAATATATATGTACTTATCGGTAATTTCCAGTGGGAAACACTGCTACTCTAGCTCCAGACACCTATTTTGCCACTAGTCTCAGATATTAGGAAGTTCGTTCCCCCCTGGGATTAATTGGATGTATAAGAGGTGATGGAATTATTCGAGTGATGCCGTGATGCCACCATATGCCAATTTTTCGAGTTTTGGCGGTAGCTGGGGCCATCTATGATCATAAGAAAGCGCTAGCGGATGCGGACACTTTCGTAGATGCTTTGGTGCGGCGTCTCAAGGAACAACAACCCACGTGTGCTGGGTCGAGTTGACGTTGGCGCAAAGGCTTGGCAGATCAGACCTGCGTGAGTGGTCTAGTTTGGAATAATCGTTCACGGGTGAATACAGGATTCCCGATTCAATCGGACAGCATAACTCGTCAATCCCAAAAACCGAATTTTCATTACGAGAAATAAGCAACACTTCCGCGGAAATGCTGAGAGCACTGGGATGATCATTAATATCGGTGAGAACTTGGAATGGAAACCCCTCTATTTCTCATTCCTGGCAAGTTAGCAAGGTGAGAAATATTAACGTCGGTACGCGTATGTAAACTTGTACTGGACTTCAGCCCTTCTTAAGGTTCTTGGTATATAGTAACCGTATCAAATGATACTCCAAATAAATACCGTGCCAGCAGTTCATACTGGTTTCAGTAAATCAAACTGTTTGGGATGCAATAGGCACGGACGGATAAAGCAGAAACGTAGTAGATCGTGTCCATCGTACTGATTGATCGACGCCTTAGGCTCGAGACGGCAAACGTCCGAGAACAAGTTAGCTCAGATACATGTATGTACAATAGTAGTACATACCAGAGTGAACTCTGGATATTATGAGAGGTATTTCTTGTCGTTTAAACGCCACCTACGGTTGATTGGGGAGCTCGCGGAAGCTGTTTATGATAGACGGGAAAAGTCTGGAACTTCAGAATCTAAGAACTGAACCACATCGACGTTATCTTTGTCGCATATTGTTCATACGGAATAGGAGCAGATACACGTGTACACGTACTATCTTATGTGACAATTGTACACATTGCCTCGAATTAGGTATGAGCATCGAATTCTCGTGTAATATCTGAAAAGGCGTCATTTTTTTTAAAAAAAAATTAATTGCTATTGTTTCTAGGTACAAGTCTGAAAAGGCGTCCTGTAGACGCGGCAGGTATATCTTTTGCATATTTGGGCTAGAAAATCGCTCTCTGTAGAGTATATATGCGATAGCTCTGTTAAGTGTGTAGACCAGGTCGGCAGTTTATATCCGCTTGCCTACACTTTGAACCGAGCTTAATCAACTTATGTACATTTTTTTCAAGTAACAGAAATGCGTTCTGGTGTAGCTCATGAAATATTTGTACACCCTTCCGTTGGCAGTTTTATTTACGTGTTACAAGGCACGGGCGCTTATCCTAGGATGCTGTGTACACGAGTGATAATACATGATGAGCCGAGCGGATTAGATCATTGACTCACTGAGGCTCTTCAGATCGGTAAATATAGCTTTGAGAATTGATCTGCCAAAAGTTAAATTCTACTTTAATTCACTTTGACCTATTTCCTATTTTGCCTCACCATGCGTTGTCAGCCAGTCGACCTACACCATCTCCATCCATAATTTAATTCTCGAGGCTCTCACCTCCGGAAGATGGTATGCACCCCGCAAACACCGGGTTCCAGCTCTGGGAAAGCTTCGCCGAGTGCCTTTGCATCAGAAGAGAGCTAGGGCTTCCACAATTTCATCATCCAAGACCAGCCCGACCCCGCCGGATAGCTAGAGCAGAGTTACTAGGCGATTGATAGTACGTGCATGCACCGATTATGACAGACGTAGCTCCATGACCATAGATCGGGCCAAAGGGCACGCAAACCACAAATCCGGGGGACTTGGGATTTACGATGCTCAAAACATATTTGAAACTAAGCATTTGCGATAAACGAGTTTCGGGTACGGAGGTGGGTTGTTGCCCCCGAGGGATTGAACTTTGTTCCCCGCCGGCATTTAACGGGACGCAGATCTCATGCACCAATGAACTAATATTATAATGCCCCCCTGCCGCTTGATCTATTGACGAGCAAGGAGGACCCTGAATTTCTTGTGGTTTGAGGATGATTGGCGGATTACTTGCAAGGTTAAGATTCGATTTGGAACCTGCATGGCGACCCTCATGCCTGCTTCGAGTATGCAGGCTCGGAATACCCGGGGAAAGTCATGCAGCGAGTACTCGTAGCTTCCTGACGTTTTTGAACGCGACTGATATTGCATACCATACAAAAATACGCCGAGATCCTGATTTTAGGTGTATGCAATAGTGGCCCGGTCCAAAAACGCCAGGAAACTACGAGTGCAGGGCACACGCAGCAGCAGCAGCAGCAGCAAACTCCTGAACGTCGCTGCATCTAGCCATCCCAATTCGAACTTTTTTTTGGTGCGAGAACTCAGACAAATCGGCATGTTCCCCCAACCTAGATCTTGGGCTAACAAACAGATGAAAATGGTCCGTATGCTTTGGACTCTCTAAGATTCACCACGGTGTTTCTCGGGGAGCTGGATTTTAGGGCGGAAGTCGAACAAGTCTTACCAGACAATTGATAACAATCTTGATAGCGACCGCATTCGCATGATGG